GGTCTGCAGGATACAGTATATTGTTATATATATAATTTCCTTAACAATTTATTACAGCCCAAAACTAATAATATTAGTATAGCCTTGTTTGTTGATGATGTACTAAAACATTACGACGCTATTGGCTGTAAATCATAAAATTACCAATACAAAAACTATATTATTCGTTAAAAAAAAATCAGACCTAAAATTATAGTATCTGCCTAGCTGTAAATAATATAATTAAATTGTATGTTAAGTTCGCGTTTTGGTGACATATACTTCATACAACTAGAGAACGAATTTACTTCTTAATTAATATACACAACCTAATAAAATGCCTAACTTAACTTAAGATGTAAAACGTATAATATGCATATTATTTGATATTACATATTACATTAAATAATACCACTAATCTAACAAATGATAAATAGGATTTGGACTGCTCGTAGCAACAATGTTTACCTTTTGTTATCATTTAGCCATAAACAATTGTTTTATTATTCAAGAAGATTTATTATTAAAGTTTAAAAATGTCATGACATTAATGTTATACGTTATGTATTTAACCAACATTATGTTGATAATTCGCTAAGGGCCATTCACCTGAAATCTCGTTTATCATCGTTTCTAACACTACGAGTAACAGTTGATTTATAAAACCATTTATAATAATAACGAGTAATGTTCTGTAGAAACTAGAATATATTTGGAAGCCTATTAATTACAGTATCACATGCCATATGATCATCACACGGCGATATAGATAGGCAAATCTGGTACACCGAGGTGATGGGTTCGGTTTTTTTCCAATATATATATATAATATTATTATAATGTACCTATAATTGTATTATAATTCAATGCATATATTAATAATAATAATAATAATAATAAATACTGTGTATTATTATACAATATTATAAATTATAATATTATATTACAGATATTATAGTTTGTTCAAAATTTCAAATATATCAAAATATGATAAAGTGGCCATTACAAATCAGGGTGATATATTAATATATTATATTTATAAATAAGTAAATAGTTATTAGCAGCTTTGTATTATTGTATATTTTTAGATCGCATCATTTTAATTAACTTTAAAAACAACATAAGATATGTGCGAGTATAATAATTGTTAGGTATAATAATAATATGTTTGATATAATATAATACCTACTATTATATATGTATAAATTATGTATTCGAAATGTAGGTACACGGCTATTTTATTATTATGTATTAATGTGATAAAAAAAGATTAGTAATTTAACATAAAATGTATTACGCGTTTTGCCATCACATCTTAAAAAGTATGGCGTTCTTCAAATTTCTCAAAAAAAAAAAAATATAATGTTTTTGAAATATTATAAAAAGTTAGGTTATGTGTAATGTCAATTGTTTGAGGACCTAATGGATATTGTGATATGATTAATTTGGAATTTATTATAGGTACCTGTAATAGATCAATTTTTTTTAATACCATAGATATGTATATAATATGTCTTAAACCTAGACTGACATACCGTCTCCGCTCAGAATTGTTTTTCTTATACAATGATATTATATCATTGAATTGAAACTTAATACCATCCATTATATAGTGACCCACTTGTAATCTACTGTACAGCAGAGCATTTTTTTTTTAATTTTTATTATTACCAAAAAGTATACAATACAGTTAGTGTATACAATCGAGGTGTATAGGGTTCAAAAACGTAGCCGTAAAAAGTATTATTATAGATATTTCGATAAACGACACCGGTATTATAATATTAAGTACAATGCAATTTGAGCAAGTATATGAAGATGCTCATGGCATAAATTGGTAAGTATTCAAATTTAAGAATTAAATGCTTTCCGTGAACCAATATTACGGTATCAGGCATGTAAAAAGTATGTTCACATCACTATTAATGTCATCTTCAAATAAGACTTGGTTTAGTACTTAAACATTTTTTTTTTTAAAAAGTAATGCTTAAATTCTACCACGAATATATTATATCTAACACACTTATGTTTTTGCTGGGTTCGCAAAAGAGCTAGAGCGTTTTATAATCATTTCGTACACGAAGGCAATGTAAGCACTAAGCATTTTAAAAACTATTAATTTTTCTCAATGGCATCGACATCATCCTTTTGACATAATAATATGGTATCTGAATATACGAAAAAATAATTATAAAACACGACCGATATAAGGTAGGTATTTTATTTTCCTAAAATTGTATATAATATTTTTACTCACGAAATTCAATTTTATTCTTGAAATGTGAAATGTACAGTTAAATAAAATCGTACAAAAATGTTCGTTTCAATAGCTAATATTATAGGTACCTACTCAAACGTTACTCTCTAACGGCGTAATAACATGGTTTCACTTTAGTTTATTAAGCGTTTAACGGAATTCTGTTATGTTTTACAATTCAGCAAAAGCAACTAGAGAGTCATATATCAGTTTTGCAATAACGTAGTTACCTATTTTTTTTATTTTTGTTTAAGTTACTTTTTTATAGTTTTGTCTGTTATTATTACTTTTTCCACTAAAATGAGTGCTCCTTATTGTTTCACAAAGATCTACCTATATGGCTAAATATGCTGGAAATATTATCTAGTTTTGTTGAATTTTGTTGGTAGTTGGTACTTTAAACATAAAGAGGTTATTATTTTTTTCTCAATAGTTTCCTGAAATACAATAAAAAAATATCCTATTCAATTCTCGTTAGTAGAATTCGTTTATATTTAGATGTTTAATTAAATAATCATTTTTATTATCTTGGAGAGAATTTACATTTTAAAAGAATATTTTCTTAAAAATTATGGATACCTAAGAAAAATTTGTTTTTACATAATAGATAAGAATTTATATTATATACTTGTAAGCACAATCGTTAATTATTTTTCATCAAATTTAAAACGGCTGTATGCCGCATGTTTATTTACGACTAACAGAAACTATTATATTTATTGACAATTATATTTGCGATAAAGATGGTAAGCAATTCGTATATTTGAGAGACAACTAGTATAATATGCTCTGAACAATATACGTGCGAACGATAACTTTAGTCACATTAATTACTGTAATATAGTATATTGTAGTGCACATTATTATTATGTATACGTAAAGTGTATATGTGTAGATAGGTATATCTATTAAGTTGCGAATCTACGATGTGAATATTGATTATTCCTATAAAGTACATTCTTATCGTCCATGTACACCGGGTTGAATATAATATAACAGTACATTATAATATAAGCAGCGATTGGAAAAAACAGCTTACATGCATTTAGCTCATTATTGTTCCAAAAACTAAAAAAAAATATAGCTCTAAAAAATGTCCATGTTTGATGAGTTTTAAAAATATGTATGGCCTGTGATATTGGAGCGATTCGTTATTACTTATAAATTATATTCTAAATTGGTTATATTATATGATTCAAGTGGGTATAATCTACTGTACGCAAGCAAACCGCCTGTACTAATATGAATATTATTTTCAAAAGAATGAAGATGTAAATGGATCATGATGATTTAATTGATATTACATACTATGCATAAACATGCTATTAGGAAAAAGAGTGGCGAAGAAACATCCGATGAAAAAATCCGACACCATAGTTTTCGAATATGTGTTTAACCGCTCTGTATACTTTAAATCAACTTTTAACTTATACAAACAGTTTTACATCTCAATTTATCATCGGGTATTATTGTTTTAAGTTCAGTTATTTTGCGGTATGTTTGAACTAACTCTTTTTTACCATACACATCAATACATCATAATATTTTATGAAGGTATAAACTAATTGAATCCGTGTTTTAGCAAAGATCATTAATTACTAGAAAACTTTAGACTGTTATTATTACTACATATGAGAACGGTAACAAAATATTAGTCAGGGGAACAGTATATAAACTAGACCAAAAAGTATTATGTATCAAAAAGCAAAAAATTAACTTTATTTGTATTTATTAGCTTAACGTTCAATAAGCAAAACAATACCCGAATATGCAAAAATATGCATTATGCAATTACAAATTTGACTTTGTCGTAACACGAAACAAATTTATTTCTGGTTGGCCTATTTTAGGTGGTGCAAACAAATATGCAAATTAAAGAAGTCCTCTGCTTGAAAGATGATAACCTACTAGGTAGTGCTTATTAGTTATGCAGTCTCTAGTCGCTACTATAAGTTAATATTGTTTAATTATATTTATCAACAAGTTTACCATTCATCAATAGTTTATACTGCAATATTACTTTCCATGACATTACGTAGCAGTGTATTTATATTTACCCTGTTTTATAAAAATTATTTGCCGATTGAGTGTGTATCATAAATTACAGGGTGATTCACCAAGCATGCTTGCCGCCTGTTTTCTTCAATAATGCAGTTATTTAAATTCTGATTTTTAGAATTTTTAAATATACTTAAAGAGCATATACTAAAATTCTTGTACTACTATTAAGGAGTGCCATGTGGTGATACAAATTTCTGTTTTTCAATTGAGAACCATTACACACATAAAAATGTTCAAAAAAAAAATTATCTACCTACTAAATAATTTACACTCGAAATTCGGAGTTATCATTTTAAAAACAGAAGTTGATATCGCTGACACATCACTTTTGTACAAAAAATCTTAAGACTCAAAATATGGTCTTAAAGTATGTTAAAAATTCCAAAAATTAGTACATATTTGAATAAATGCAATAAAAGAATAACGCGGGGGTTACAATATTGGTATTAAACTCCGTATAGATGTATGTCTTATTTCTAAAATATACAAAATCAACGATAACTGAATAGCTACAGTAGATATCGATGAAAAATTAGTTCATCGGTCGTGTAAGCAACTGACGTTTAATTGTACAGATAACGTTTTTAATTTGAAACCCATTGCTTAACCGTTTAGGAAATCTATGATAGTTCAATGGGTATATTTAACGATGTTTTTAAAATAAATTATTTGAAGAGATACTTGTAAAATTACGTTGACTCACCGATTTTATGCATTGGACTAAACCTTGCCAGAGATATCACTCCTTGGTCACTTGTGCACGCTCGAGCAAATCTGAAATGCAAAAGATGGTTCGATTAATATCAAATATAATATGAGTAGAAAGAATAAACTGAATGAATACCCATAAGCCAAAACATAATGTTAAAACAATTTTTAAACCATATTATTACTTTTAAGTAATTAAGTACAATGTGGGTACCTACAGAAGTTTTTAAAAGCTGTACACTTCGGGGGAAAAAATTCGTAAAGCAGAAAAATGTACAGCATAAAATACCACTATACATATTATTTTATGTTCAAACTATAATATTATGAGAGCAATAATTAAAAAGACGTTTTGCTGGAAAAAATGTACATACATAGTTAAGCTACACTCGCTTCCATTGTCCGTTCGTATGGTCAAAAAAAATAATGAATATAATATTATGTACTAAACATTTTTAACAAAAGTAAATTAATATAATGCACTCCATCACATGTACTCTCTTTATCTAGATTAATTTTTCATATACCTACACAGCAGTAAAAAACATAAAAAAGGTCATAATTTTTTTAATTGTTTAAAAATCGTGTTTAGACAAAATTGAATAAACAAACAAAAAATAATAAATATCAGTATATTAGAATGAGATAACATGTAGAAAAAACAAAATCAAAAACTTAGTGAAATAAAAAGAACAACCTTCAAGTAGCCCTCAAACAGTCCAAACAGAAAACACGAAACAGTCTTAAATAGACTAAGATTAGGCTACATAAAACTTACCCACGGCTTCTTAATGACCAAAAAATACCCCCTCCCCCCAATTTACACCACATGCAACACATACAACAGTCAAACATATACAAACAGAATTTTTAAAATTCGAAGACCTCAGAAAAGAAAATGGTTTACCCGAGCAACTATCCGAAATCCTGGGACCCGGAGAAGAAGCGAACATCAAAGTAATACATTTGTTGAAAACACCAGCATTATATAATTTAATTTAGCAAAATAAAAAAAATAATAAAATTGTTAAAAAAAAAAAAATGTAATCACATAAATGTACGCTAATAACCAATACCGTTGGAGCGTTTTGTTCAATAAAAAAATAATAATAATAATCATTCCTTAAACGGTTTTTAGTTATTTTTATGTGATTGAAATTTCAATACGTATTATTTGTAGAGATTTCACATGTTTGCCTTAATGTTTATTTTAGTTGTATAAACTATATACACAAGGTGATTTGCAAAATATTATTACTAATTTTAATATATTATTACACCAAACTTATTCACACTATTATATTATGCTGCAGTTTGTTGGTAACAATTTATAGTATTGATTTGTGTGCAATGTTTTTGTCAAAATATAGTTCAAATTACTAAATTAAGACATTACTACGATAGGTACTAATAATATAAACTATCCTTTCACGTAGATATTAATCCATCTATCTCTTTTTCTCAGAATGGTTTTTCGTGTAAATGAATTTACCATTGAATTCAAATTTAACACATCCATATTACAGCGACCTATACTTAATTACAAGGTACAATCAAATCCTATTACACTGCAGTAATGTTAATTGAAATACTATCTGTTTTTTTTTAAACTGATGATATTATTAATATCTTTTAGTATTTTGGTTTTAAATTCTGAGCGTAGTGATAAATGAATTGATTTTACAATGATGTTTGTTTTTTAAAAAAAAATTTTTTGTTTGAAGACACTTTTCTAGTAAAAAAAATTATATGATCATCAACTTCGATGTAGATTACTTGTAAAAAATTGAATCTAATTGGTATATAATTTAATAAATAATTTAATATTAAAAAATCTGAATAATAAAAATACAAAAATAGGTGTCAAGGAGGTAACCAATCTGCAGTACACTATTGATTATTTATGTCGAGTATACCTCGAAATTGAGTAGTTAACTGCAATGGTTGTATTCAATTTGTACTCGTTGCTAAATCATTGCACACGATAAAAACGATTCTGATCGTAACCGGTCTAACTTTTTGGTAGGTGCAGACCAAATAATAACAATTGTTTTAATAATAATATTATAATTTTAACAAACGTTAATATTATTTTGAAAGTACAAACTAGATTCGACTTGCAACCAAAAACCTTCCGTAAAGTTGACGATTGAAATATTTTTCTACTCCAAAAAAAAAAAATGTCTTCAGACACATAAAAAATAAAAAACACAAATTATTGTAAAATCAATACATTCATTGCTCCAATCAGAAACTAAAATGCAATCAAAATATTCTCCTATACATCAATATAACAACATTGATAGATTTATCTAAACAGAAAAAGATATATTTGTAATTCATTCTAATGATTAATATAATTAATTAATTAAAATTTTTTGATATTAGTAAATTATTATAAACTTGGGTTTTTTTTAATGTATTTCAATAAAGCTTTAAAACACCTAAAGTGGTGAAATTAAAGTGGCACAAGTATCTCATATACATTGTCTTTTGTGAATATTGCAATAAATATAAATTGTATAAAAAGGAATTTGTGTTTTGATGAAATTAAATAAACTAATTGATTGTTAGAAAAAATCTAACACTCGAGCAATTGCGTAAAAGACAACGCGCGAGTGATCCTGGGTTAAAGATAAAAGTAAACAAGAGCATTATAGAATACCTATTATTGAAACAATAAATATCGACGTACCTACATTAATTTTGTATATTATTATTGTAGTTCACACCATACACAGTTCAAACAGTATATCGTACACAGTCAACCTTCGGCAATCAAGTGTGCAAATTTAAATAATAGATATCTGGTAATGGGATTACAAATCGACTGCGGCCACATAATATATTTATATACTAATATATGACATTATAATATTATATACAGGCTGTATCTGGAGGATTATTGAAAGTTAAAATATCGAAATAAACGAGCGTCTGGCAAATCGTCAAGAAACACCTCCTATCTAAACCTAAAATACCGAACAAATATCATACGGATTGATAACTGCAATTGATTTCATGGATACACACACACACTGCATTATTACCAATATAAAATATCCATTAATCCATTTGGTAGTATACTTAACTGTAGTTTATAAAATCATACGCACTTGATATCAACTGCGGGTGAACTTCCTGTAGGTGGTTATTATTATCAGAGACTATTGACCCACGGATATGTGGCCGATAAACCATAATATCATATGCATTTTATTCTGTCCACGGTTATTATATTAGTATAAATGTGGGCCACGGAATTGAATCAGGACTCGGGATTTAATGCACGATAAAACGATATAATGTGTATTTTAATATAATGCATTTATAAAAAATTACGAAATTTCGTAAATTATTTTGTAGTTAAATATTTGTAAAACTGTTAACTTTGATAGCTATTGAGGCTTGAAAATGTCATACAGGTTTTTTGATACATTTTTATTGATACAATCTAAATATTGCAGAAATAAATATGCAATATTTTTTTTTATAGACGTACAATTTAAAATTATGACAAAATTGGATATTAAAACAAAAAAAACACAATTTTAGTTATTTGGTTGTAATTTAAAAAATAATATTCGCAGGGACTTGAGACTTTTCGTCACTACATGTATTATATTATTTACTATTTACACAATACGATCAGAAAATAATATTTAGATTAATTTTAAGCTGTATACACGCTATACGTTTCTATATTAACACCGGTCTTCGGTATGTTGGTATTGATTTAACTAGTAATAGTATTATATTATTATTGAATATATGTGGTATATTATTGTAAAAAATTACTTTACCTTACATTTTCTATTTATAGAAAAATAAATTACTTATAGCAATATTAAATATATATAGGTAATACAATTTCCTTAGAAATATAGAATGACAGAACGTCTCCGCTCAGAATCGTTTTTAAATGTATAAAGGTACAATGATTTATCATTGAATTGAAATTTAACATGTCATCCTTTACAGTGACCTATACTAAATAACGAGGTACACTTGACACCTACTGACAACCAGAGTGACTTCCCCGCTATTTCATTTTGCATTTATAGAAGAAAAAAATTCAAATGCAAAAATAAACGTTTAACATTTTTAAATTTTAGATCTAGACGACATGAATTATATTGTTTGCATCGAATCAAAATTATACTTTTTACACTAAAATATATGCAAAACCAATATAAGTCCACTAGCCCTGTATGTGATCCAAAAATCGTCATTCGAAATCGTTAAAGTTGATCGTAAATAATTATTGTGTGTGAATTTACCATCCCCTAAAAATACCCATAATATTTTTACTGGTAATCAGAACTATCGCAGTGGAATCACATTTTATTCAACAACATAATATTATGTTCAGCGCCTATAAAAATTATAAATATATAAAATAGAACCAGAAAATAGAACTCATTATACTAGCTATTTTGAAAATGTACCATTTCCAATCCAACAACACAATCGTAATGACAAACTCATAATTGTGATTCAAATATCAGTGCATAGATTATATAAGATATCATGGAACTACCTATATCATTTATTTAATAAATCTGTATTTATGATAGGCAATATTGTAAATTAATGTTCGTTAGAAATAAAATATATTTTACTACATCACTTTTGATATTATAGCGAAATTTATATATTGTCATACCACGTACAATATACTTATTGTATACGTATCTAAATATACTTATTTTGAAGATCCTTTGGAGTAATAATAGTATTTTAATTGAGTTATTCAATGAAAACTACAGTATATATATAAAAAAGCTGTACAGAATATAAAGACCACTTGTTGCAGGACACTTGTCTCACTTCATTCACTGTAGCACACAACATATTGGTGCTCCATTATTATTGTAAAAACGCATAAAATATATGAATGCTTGAAATGAATTAATCACCAAATATTAATTGACAAACAATTTTGAGCTAAGCTCAGTTAAAAACTCATTTGCTGAGATTTTTTTCAACACTTCCGTGATTTTATGGTATTTTATTACTATTTAAGGGATTACAATAACAACTGTAAGAAAACAACGAAGAATAAG